TATGACAAATAGCACTGCGTGAGGCCTAACAGACTAAGGGTATGAAGGTGAACTCAATGACGAAGTGTCAAATATTTGAAAACACTATAAATATGGTATTGTCCGCCAAAAAATAATGTCATTTTCGAATGAAAAACTAGAAAGAAAGACCACGTGAAGAATTACAGCCTTCAGGGTTCATGCCGAGATTATGATAATTGGTGTGTCACCACGAGCTTGGCAAACCAGGTCATTCACAACTCAAAATGAAGCCGGAAATTACATCAGATTTCCAAAAGGCAAATCATCATTTTCTCTACCGGTGTAATACTTAGTTCTTTACAAGTATCATTACCAAGTTTCGACTTGATAATTTTGGATTAATTGGGACTTGTTAATAATCAAGGTAATATATTTATAATGTTTTAGGCAGTAGAAAGTTAAACCTCTGAAGTTTCATGACTTACTGTGAGTTATTTCTTTAGAGAACAAAATTTAGCTATGAATGACACTAACGGAAGTTCAAATAGTTCAAAGGAGACAAAGCAGAATACTTTTAGTACGATTAAAATTAAAATAGATCTGATCATGTTGATATTACCATGTCATTTCAGTGAGGATAATTTTTTTCGTGAGTCTTAGTTGTGTGTAATTGTGAAATAGAAGGATTAGGAATATTTGTGCGTTTGTAAGCGGTGTGAAATGTGAATAGGATAGGTTTTCCGAATAAATTGTTCATGGAGTTAAATGCTTGTCTGAATAAGTTTGGGGCCAAACAGATTTTCGCATTGAGCAGATGCTCTGATTTGAAATAAACATATTTATTTGAGTGTTAGCTTGCGGTATTCAGCTCTTCAGCTTCACGATCTTAATCACTACATGTAAAACTCGTTTTGGTGTGCTCTTGAAATTTTAGAGAAATTTCCTCTATGTGAGCATTTCATTCTCTTGTTGTTGTTGGTGTGTACTTATACTTAGTTTTGATATCGGTCATTTGTCATTATTATTGCTATTTTGTTTACAGTTATCGATTTAAGATGGAGTTGTTGACGTCGATAATGTTCTGAGTTTTGTTCTGTTTTCGTTTCAGTTAACATCCTTGAAAAATTTGGCGGTCTCCATAGTGGAAATCTTGTGTTTGATTGATCCTGTTTGTATTTTCCATTGTTTCCGTACTTGGTAGAAAACAACTACGTTTCCATAATAGCAAGGGAGAAGGTTTGCTCGTATTAGGTAACTATACGTTTCTTAACTTCCAAATATAATCGTTACACTGTAGTGATTGACTGCTTCTACAACTCGTCGGGCCATTTTGATCTTGTCCTTTTTCAGGAGTAACCTTGCTTGTAACTTACATTTAACTCATTTGTGGCCTGTCAACTTATTATATCTTGCTTTAACTGTGCATGGTATAATAGATCAGCGTGTGAAAAGTTGTTGTACTCCGTAGTTTCGCTGTCGGAGGAAATGCTGTTGAGGTGCACACTATTTCATTTTATGCCTATATTTATTGTTTCAGTGCCACATCAAATACTACATTTTACGTTGTTATACAAGCCATATCAGTAAACCTCGCCTTCTAAATACTTTAATTGAGGCATGTAGTGACAGGGCTGTTGAAATCATTGAGGCTTTCGGATGTAACACGTATTGCGTCGCTTTACAGGTGATCGACGCATTTTTTCTTGGGGAATGATGGGACATCGTATCTAATTGCCTCCTCACATTATAAGGTCAAACGGCCTGAAGAAACAAAACTTAGTGTGAATAATCAATGTTCCACAGTATCAATCGCGCAACTCTGTTAAAAATAGTAGGTGCTGAGGTTTAACAAATACCATTTTGAGGTGTATCCTCACAAGGTCTTTTGAGGCGAACACCTGTGCAGCTGCCGTATTATAGCCGTTGCGTTTTAGCTTATATACGAAGCCAACTTATTACGGCAGCCTGTGAGAGTGCTCTAACAGACATCAAACATAGTAACAGATACCGACATACAACCTGTTGGACATAACTTCCACGGATGCACGAACAAACCAGCCTAGGATTAATTGTCAGTCATGACTTGAAAGCAACTAATTACTGCAATGTAGGAGTTGTAAAAAGGTTTTCGAGTGTCATTATCGATTCGTAGGGACCTCATATCCCCTGGCAAAGATGCACTTTGAACGTCACTTCCTACCTTTTAGAGTCGTTTCTTAAAATGCTGCTTTCAAGCAGTAAGCTCATTTTTTATTGTGAATGCTGATGTATTTGAGTGGGCTGAGTTTAGATTCTAAGCTAGTGACAGATTTTTGCTACCTATTATATGGCGATAGACTGAAAGATTGAAGTCTTTACCCCACTATTTTATCATAAAACTTGTTGTGACGTATTACTGACACTAATTTGTGTTTTACCATGTCTTACTTTTTTATTCCTTCCGTGGCTAATCATCTCTGAGGCGGTCACAAAAGGGTTAGAAAACTGAAATGGAATCACAACACGGAGAGATTTTGTTTTACTCTTCCAGTAGTCGATAAGTACGTCCCTCCACCTAAACAAACAGTATCAACCCCACAGGATATTGTCTTCAAGAAGGAACAGAATCTTAATTGGAAATTGTTTTGTAATGGTTAATAGAGGTTATCTGTCCTACTATTCAAAAGAATAGTGACATTTAGATAGAATTTAAATTTTTAACTGAGTTATGTTTTTCATGTTAAATACAACTCTGAAATACTATAAAACACTTGATTTCATTGATCTATCTGTCTATAATCTCTTGGAAGTAGTCATCTTTATCTGCTAGGATCCATGTTACTCCACCAATCTCGTTTGTTCAGCATTAAGGTGTGTAACTCAACACTACTAATAAAAAAAGGAAAACCATACTATCCCAAAGGCTTATACTTCATACATTCACCTTCTTCAGAGATCACAAAAGTTCGAATAGTTTATTACTTAAAGTTGTGGGAGGAGATCTAGAAATGAATCTTTCCTGGATCTTATTAGTGGGTGACTTCAAGTTTTATAGTCTTTTATCCAGTGACGATAATTCCACAATGATAAGTGATATTAAGGACTTGATTGGAAGCTCAACCTGACAGAAAATTTAACTCAGTTTACCTACTGAGAGCAGACGGACATGCCTTCAGTCTGGATCGCATTTTCAGCGAATATGCTTCTGAAGTGACCAACTTGTTAGTCTTGAACCTTTTGAACATGTCCATCATCTCCTCACATCATTCTAATTGAACAAACACGGCTACATCAGTGTGACTGAATCACAGAATCTTCCTAGGAACACCCTCATCTAATCCGTTCATCGGCAAACTTTCCTCTGGCTGTCATGTACAAAACCCTCTAGACAGTCCCGCTGCCTAAGGTTCGGTGTCCACATACTGTAAACACATTGTCTGTAACAACTGTCGTCGTCCCACTGACACAAATGATAAGTCATGCTACAAGGTATCACCCAGTACATGTACTAAGAAGATCAAGTAAGATAAATTAGCTTAGTAAAGTTGGAGGTCCGTATAAATCTGAACCCTCTTGACCCTAACTCACTAATTGTAGACAACCTCAACAAGGTAGTTGCTAGGCCGTTAGTCGATAAGTTTCGATCCAGCCATTTCCAGTCTGACGCACCTCTGTATACACACTGCTGTTCCACTCATTTCCATGACTCTCTAAATATAGATTTTGTAGCTTTCAAAACTAAAGTAATTATGGGGCTCTTGACCACACAAATTTAGCCGGATCTTATAGTATCCAACCCATGTTCCAATGTGTGGACTCTCTACACTTCTCTGTTTAAGTGTTCCTTAGTCAAGGCAAACTACACCTCGGCTGGAAAAATATCAGTCTTACCTTCAGACAAAGAATGGAAGAAAGTGGAAGTTTATGATCTCCAACCTATTTTATTGCTATTCACAGTGGTAAATGTCAGGGAAAGACGTGCCAACTAATTTTTTCATAACTTCCTCCACAACAAATCTGTTCACTCGAAGTCAAAATACGATAGCCTACGTAGTAAAGAAACCGTTAACTTAATGCAGTAAGTAGACCACTTGACTGAAAAGCAAATGTCCTGTCTGTATTTGTCTCCTAGACTTCTCCAAAGCATTGAACGTGGTTGACTATCATATTCCGTCTTAAAAATTGGATTATATGTGTATATGTGGATGTCTAGCGTTTTAGTCCTCGGGTTACATAAAAATTAGATCACAAGCTGTCGGAGTTTACTCCACTCTGTCAAATTAGTTTACAATAACAAATGAAGTGCCAAAAAGCCTAATCTTAGGGCTTCCGATCCTATTGTTTAATAATGACCAACCTAATTCTTCGGACTCAAACTTTTCTGTGTGCAGATGATCTTAAGAACTAGAAAGGACTAGTTTGCTTAGCCGATGTCTTGACTCTAAAAATACCTACACCGGATAAATAACTGCGCCATCACAAACCTTGCTTCCCTCAATGCCAGTAAGTGAAGAATGGGAATGGTGAACGGCGGCGATACTCCAGCCATTATATACCGCTTGGTAGATTCCGGAATCGCATTTTGCACAGGTGAACTGAGTTTGCTTCATTAGTATAATTCAGGTATTTCCTCCGAATAAAATTCTTGAGTCAGCAAATCATACTAGTTCTTGGGCATTAATTCTCGATTATTTCCGTGAAATTAGTGAATGAATAACCCCAACGAACATTTAAGCCAGAAAGAAAATAGTTTCTGATCCTTAAACGATTTAAAATAAAAAGCAATAGATTTGTATTTGGCGGACATTCATAACATGAGTTATTGGGCTTTTCATCACAAGATGGCATCATCTAGATTGCGAAGATGAAGTCCTAGCGGAGACCTGATTAGTTCATTCATGCTCTTCGCTTTTAGTATCACTTCATTTGCTATCCTAATTGTTTTCTTCTTCACTTACAGAAGAAATATAGGAGTGGTAATAACCTCTTGTAACCAAAAGCGCTATCTCAAAGAACAGACAGCTCGTTAATTCTGTCAAGAAAAGTTTAAGTCGACGGTTGAACTTTAGAGGTTGATTTGCGCCGTCAAGGTCGTTTGGTTCATTGATAAGGTTTCCCACTGCAATGTTCTCTTCAAGAAAGGTTTTGTAGCTAATGAGATTTCAGTGATTAGGATCCGATAACAGATTTGTGGAACACATTTTCTTTTACTGAACGTTACCGTCACGTATAAGTCCTCTATGCAATAGCATGAGGGTTGCTAAACAGTGTGAAGAATGAGAACTATGATTTGCAGTTGGTTAGGGTTAGGACTTAGATCTAGGGTTTTCATCACGAAATGATGTCATCTATAATGTCGAAGCTTTATTTAACCAAATGGATGAATCAATGTCGCACGAAAATCCGTGTCTTGTTATCTTATGTCTAATTGGTTTGTCCATAAATTATAGTCTCATCGCATTAAATGCGCTCTTCACAAGCTAAATCTAAAAAAGATCGATGTTCTTTCGAAAAGTATACATTTTCGGAATCATGCTATTTTCACCCCCTCCTTTCTATGCTGTTCCACTGTCTTTCATAGATCAAAATGCTGGTTCATTTTTGGTACATCACTTACTGTTCGTCAGTACTGGAGAAAGTTGTAGGAAAACTGTTTTACGTCTTTACAACCAAAAATTTTGGTGCACTCAGAAATAAGGAGGATTTTTGTTTCAACAATCACTTCCGTGCATCGGTTAGTAAAGTGAATAGGTAGAACTCCCATAAAGCACCGATTTATTTTCCATTTGAGCCTCATTGCAGGAAGTCAGATCATAAAGGCCATACATTACACTTTCTCAAGCTACTCATTCACAGGAAAATTTTGGAGATACTGCATTGGACACATTAAGAAAACAAAATCGACAGTATTTTCAGCATAACACCAACGATCCAGAAAAAGTTATGGGACGTATGTACTAGTTCCTTGTGGTTTCCTCTTACCTATTACATGGACTTATTAAACCTGACTTTTAAGCTCCTACGGGGTCTAAAGAACTAGACAACTCATGGGGTAGTGGTTTCAGGGCGTTTGTTTTCGAATTCTAATAACCTACGAATATATTCAATCCTCGAAGACTACATGTTACAGCCATAAATTAGCATAGAACAAACTGCTGATCATTAAGATTTTTTAGGATTTTCCGTGTGTTCTAATTTGCAGTTCGATAGTGAATTCAAAAAGATTTTCTTACGGACTGTAATGTTTTGGATGTCTTAACAGGTATGATAAAATACTCAAAGTATGTCGCAACTTGCACTTAACATTTAGAAGTTGACTCCAATCGGGATATAAATAAGACATGTTTTAGATGATTTTATCGTTTCTCTCTGAAGCGATACATTAGATACTGTGGTTGAGTAACATATTGAAATTTCCTTCATATCAAAGTAAACCAGTCTAAATAGGACTAAAGATTTAAGGAGTATTCGGGACTATAATCTTAGTGGCTAAGAATTGTTGTTAGGTGATACTTAAGCTCAGCCTATATATCTTCGTGACTGTACTGGATATTGTGGTTTTTTTGTTATGTGACCTGAAGAATTGTTTCAAAACCTGTCACGCAGTTGCTTCAAGCATTTGTAAAGAACACTTCTTACCTTGCTCTTTCGTATGGTACTCGCATTTTTGCTGTCTTTTCTTCTATTTTTACATTTAGCGTCATACAACTTTTGGCTCTACCTAAATTATTTGATTAATCTAAACGACTCCACCATAATCAGCAAAGCAAATAAATGTAGGGGGCTTTAGGTCACTATATTATGGTAGGATATATTTTACTTTCTCTTTGTAGTTTCCAAACTTACCTCCTTTTGTTGTTTTCATAATAGGATGGATGTTCATTGTGAAATGAATCAAGAAGTCGATTCCAATTATCCAAATTCGTACTCTAAAGAAGTTGAGGAAGCGCTTTCCCGGCTTAATTTAAAATCAGACAGTTTAGATGATCCTGATTTTAATGTTATTTCTTATATTAATGAGGTTAACTTACTACAAAATGTCTATGACATATTTTTTAGAGATTTCCCAGCGAACAGTCACTGGCAAATATAGATGAGTTGATAGCTGAAGCGGAAGGAAAAATTCGCGAACTAGACGATGAGACTAGAGACCTACTACGTGGTCGCTGGCAAACAGAGGATAAAGGACAAGAGATTGTTCAGGATGCAAAGGATATGATAAAAGTACTATTCTCTAGGTTGGTTTGTATTTATGTTGGTGTGTAACTTGCAGATAAATTCATATTTAAGTAAATACCTTCATAATCACTAGCTCGTTTACCAAGTGGTAGTTTGCGTACCATACTTTGAACCACGTAGTGTGAATACAGGTGATACCACTTGCCTCACGTGTCCAAACTGATGACTGAAAGTCAAGTGTTAGAACTACCAATCCATCACTGTTATGATGGTATGGCCGAGAGTGGGGTGGGCCCGCCCTCCCTCTCGAAATTCTCTCACATGGCCACGCGTATACAGCCTCTGCCAGGGAAGTCTTACTCACTGCCTTCTCGTGGTGGGGGTGTTTACAAAAATGAGAGGATGAAAAGCGAATGTCCGGCGCTTTAACCGGATCCCAAACCAATGGTGCACATGGGCCCCAGTATCCTGCAGGAACAAATGGCGTATGAACCAATTGTTGGTCACCAGCTACCATGGGACTGTATCTCCTGACGTTGGTTCACTGCCTTGTGGGTCAGACGTTTAGGTCAAAGGCTCGTGGTGTGGCCCCCTAAGAAAACCACCAACTTCGGTCTGGACACCCGGGCAGTATCACGGCCCACACACAAATATGGTGTGGCGCATATATATTTGGTACCTCCTTGTACCAGTATTTATGTGTTGAAATAAATAAATAAAATGATATTCAACATTAAATTTCTCCCTCGATGTTCTATACATCAATTCATCCTTCCACTTATGTATAAGGGGTTTTTATGAGTATTATACCATATATTTACCTCGTGATGACTTTCCTAACTAGTGTTACTTGACGTTTAATAAAAAAAATCACAAATTTAGATAATTGTTTGTGTATTTGAAATAACTTACTTGACATGTTGAGCTGTTCTGAATACGTGAAAATGAGTGATTTAATGCCATAGTTACCTGAATCAGGTAAAATCTGTGTTTTCAAGTAATATTGGTATGACACAAGTTTGATACCTCAGTGTTGCCATTAGGTGACTCGTTTTGCATGCAAGTTTGTTCCTTCTTCTTAATGAAGCTTCCAGTTCTGTCTACATTTCATATGAAATGCACCTATTATTTTACATATCAAACAGACCCTAAGTAATGTATTTAAGTTATTGAAGTTAAAACCACATGGCTTACCTCTCAAGTGCTAGCTACTGTTATACTACAAAAATGTTGTGCGAAAGATCGACTGGTAGGGAGCAGGATTAGTCTTATTTTCATCCTTTGCCGTTAAATCGTATTACGCTTTTTATCAAAACTAACTTAGCTTCTTTGAGTTAAAATATACTCAGCCAGGGTTTGTCAAACAACAATTTTCGTCGAAAGTTTACTGACATTTGCAAAATTTCGTATTGGAATAAACTAGTTACTTTCGGGACACAACTATCTAGGGATTATGCTAAACCTCCTGAATTTACCATAGTTTGATCTGTTCACTTGCAGCACTTCAGGTTTGATGGAATTCCATAGTGAGCTTTTTAATTGCACGGTGATAAAATAGATACATAACTCTCTTCTACTCATTTAATCATCGATTTGCGCAGGTATGGTGTGTGGTTTTTACCAAATATGTTTATTACAGACTAATTTCGTATCTAGGTAGTTCCTTGCATATATTCACCAGGAGTTCTACGTGATTGCTCTCAAAGTTCGATGTATTTTACTGACCATAGTAATGGTGGATTAAATATAGTCAGTTTACAAAACTAGTTTGTTTGCCTCCTATATTTTTCCATATTGAACACTATTAGTTTGAAAAATGAGTGTTTTAAAGAGGCAGAGAATAGATTGTCTAATAGTGTTATAGCGTGGAAAAAAATCATCATTTCATCACTTCAGTAGTAGTCTGTGACTTCAAATCTTTGCGAAGTTTTCATGAGTTATGTGACTCATTTCTAAATGTTAAGGTTGTTTTAAACAAGGTACTAAACTAACGTAATTTTATGTAGTACAATGAGTATTCCAGCCGTCGACTCAAGTAGATATCCGCCATATGGTACTATATGCATTTACTCCATACGGTAAAAATGGGCTTTTAGCGTTATATCTTCTGGTTTTAAAACGAAAGCCAATAACTTTTAATTTACCGAGTGTCAGACACATCTTCAGGACCATTATTTTTACTAATATGTTTACCAGTATACTGACGATGTATCATAACATACATCATTCTCTTGTGTAATTTTATCCTTAGTTTCTTAGTTATTACTATTTGAAAAATATGTCATGAAAATAATCAAAATGTGATTTCTTTCATTGTTATGTTATTTTAGTAACTTAACAGAGAAAAGGACAGAGTAGTAATGTTATCGCTAATATTACTACCACTTTTTATTGTTCTACTCTATTTGTCTTTAAGCAGAATTTTCAGTAAAAAAGTCATTGTGCACTTCATCTTATAGAATACAGGATGTTCAAGATCGAGCTACTAGATCAGAAGAAATGGTACAAGACATCACTCGGGATATACAGCAACTTGATCAAGCTAAGCGTAACCTAACTGTTTCCATAACTGCCCTCAATAATTTAATTCTTATCGTGAACACCATTGATCGTCTTAACGAATTACTTGGAATACAAAGTTCAGTGGATGATCCAATGTTTTTTGCGAAGAGCAATGACACAAATGCCAGTGCTCAGAATCCATTTTTAGAAGTTGACTCTGGTAATTTTGTTACACTTCAATTTTACTAACTATTCTGACAGTAATATTGTTTTCTCGTTATATATATATATATATATATATATATATATATATATATATATATATATAGCTAGTCAGCCAATCAGTGTACCGGTTCAAGTTGCCATGTCCCATTAGCACAGCGATATGAAATTGTCAGACTAAATCTCAGAATAGTAGAGGTAGTAACAGTATTAGTGGTAATAGAAAAGATTGGGCACCGAATATACAATTCAAGAAAATTTAAATTAGCGAAATAAAAAAAATTATGAGGAATTCATCAGCTTACAAGCTGTGGTAAGACAAAGAGTGGACGGACCTGCGACATTGCAAACGATTTTGGGACAGGTCATTCGAAGTCTCTGATCACTGATTCCGATAATCACGCGAAGCCTAGCTAGGTAGTCTATAACTGTTTTCATGGCTCAGTCAAATCTTCGATGGCTTTATGGACTGGTGCCGTGTTTTGGTTTGGCCGTCCTTAGCTCTTTTCCAGCATACTCTTACATCAGACAACAACTCTCATCAAGGTAAGGGGTGGTTGGGCACACGTAACACATGTCCCAACCACTTCAGTTGATGAAGATTCACTACCTCGTCAATCGATTGGCCACCCTTACCTGATAATTTATTCCTAACCCCAGACATTGCTTACTCGGTAATCCCAAGATACATGAACAATGCTTTGAAGACACCTATGATCGAATACTAGTAACCTACGAATATCCTTTATCCTTAATAGTTATGTTTCATACCCTTGAAATAGAACAAGACAAACTGTTGCGCAGTAAGCTCGTCCTTTGATTGGCAAGCAGATATCTCCCCTACACCACAAGTGACAGGAGTTGACAAAATGCAGTCGGGCTTTCTTAATTTGTAACGAGACTTCGTCAGACACCAGCCGACAAAGACTGGTGAAACACCTAAGATAAGTGAATTAGTCGACACACTCGACTACACCGCTTCTTATCATTGATTGGGGTGCTGACGCGGACCGGTCCTGAAGCAACATTTTGCATTTGGAGGGAAGGAGTTTCATCCCAAACATCCTTTCACTGTTGCTTCAAGTGTTTGGAAGACTGAATCTTATCAGAGTCCTAAACGAACAGAGTTACATTATCTGCTTATTCAAAGTCAACGAGTGAATCTCTCAATAGACCAACCCTTGAAAACTCAGACAATGAGAGCGTTATCTCTCAACGAATATATATGACAAAGTCAAATAAACATGGAAAGTCGGGCAACCCTGGCAAACACCACTTGAAGTTATCAATTTCAATAACAGGTCGCTTTATTAATGTAAGGTTTAGCAATGCATAAGTTTGCTATTTTATATAAATCGATCAGCAAATAGTCTGTTTACTTTTATGAATGAGGAGGGAGCAATTTCATAATAAAGTAGCGGAACTTACGCAAAACAGCCATCATATTGACTTAGACAGTTTGTTAGAGCCCAACAAAACGTTGCATAAACACGCCATGGTAGACTGGCATCGGATGCAAAACGATAACACGTTAATTTACATAAATCATTTGAAAGGAATGAATCGCCTGAAAGTCGCTTCGAACTTCTTAATGGAGTTTGAAGATGTCCAGCGGATAACATTGTACTTGTATATGAGCTGTCAGGAACTGGATAGTTTACTGACTGTTTGTACTGAGTGGAGAGCAAACCGACGAACTTCAAATGCTTTTCAACTGCCTTAAAAAACGGAACAATGCAGTATAAAGAAGTGGTTAAGATGATTACCAAGTAACAAGTGTGTTTAAGCCATCCACGTAAGTGTTTTGAGAAAGTATTAAAACACCTAAAATTAATTCTCATGGGTACCGTTTCACAGGACATCAGCTTGAACTCTTCATAAAGCACATTTTGGTTAACATGGTAGTATTGTTTCCCATCACATGACACATTTGATTCACATAACAGTATAGAGACCAGTAATTGCGTATTGAGCTGGATTACGATTGCTTAGTAATAAGATTAACGTCAGTTTTCTGATTAACGAGATTTTTATGACAAAAGCTTTCCCTTGATAATAGCTGTGAGATAGGTGTTATTCCTATAATACTAAAAGTCAACAAGTGAGTTTCTCAATAGATCAACCCTTGAAAAGTCAGATAATGAGAGCGTTATCTCTTAACGGATATCTATGACAACGTCAAATAATTATGGGAAATTTTTTTGACAAAGATCATGAACCGATCAATGGTTTCTCATACCGTCGAAGGATATTTCTTCTTGTGGGACCTGAAAAGGTAGCTGAGTTAGTGGTGGTCTTAGTGACCTCAGAGAGCGACATCAATGTACAACTGCCTGAGGTCGGTCGTGCTTTACATTTTTGTGGCCTCCATATGCCCCGGTACGGCCGAGGGTGGGGAGAGTCAGCTCTCCCTCTGGAAATGCTCTCACATGGCCACGCGTATATAGCTTCTGTCAGGGCAGTCCTACTCACTGCCTTCTCGTGGCGGGGGTGTTGTTCACGAAATTGAAAGGACGAAAAGCGAATGTCCGGCGCTTTAACTGGGCTGGTGGACACCGTGAGTTCACTTAGGGGAGTTGGTAAACGCTGATTCCATACCAATGGTGCACATGGGCCCCAGTATCCTGCGGGAACAAATGGCGTATGAACCAATTGTTGGTCACCAGCTACCATGGGACTGTATCTCCTGACGTTGGTTCACTGCCTTGTGGGTCAGACGTTTAGGTCAAAGGCTCGTGGTGTGGCCCCCTAAGAAAACCACCAACTTCGGTCTGGACACCCGGGAAGTGTCATAGCCCAAACACAAATGAAATGAAATGACACTTTTTGTGAGTAGTTTTTGTTATGTTAGCTCCGTGGCGAGATGACATCACTACAGATACTGGTTGTTTAAGGGAAAACCCTTGCTATTGTCACACCTGCTACAGCCACCAATGGGACTTCGCACTCGAACCTTAAGTTACTGCCTTTAACCAACCCGCACGGCATGGTGGAACTTGAAGGAACATGTGTTCCATCTAATAAATCTTAGTTGGTTCATCATTATGGGCAAGGCTGACCATTAAATCAAGGTACCAGCTGCGGTCAGGATATTTGTATATATATTTATTCATGCTACAAGAAAAATCTTTATACGAAATCCTTCATATAAATTCGTCGGTGCTTTATTTCTAATTAGTAAACTATGTCTGTATTTCATGGATGGATCGTTTCCTCCAAAGTTTAGGTGGTATTTTACACTGGTTTAAGCCCACCAGTATCATTGTTAACATATTTATAGAAGTGACCGCTATCTGATTTAGATAGATAATATTTAGGTTCGCTTCTGTGAAAGAAAAATAGGTTTGATATGGATAGATAATCGTTTTTAGTTGTGAATACCTTCCTCCTATACAGAATGCTAACTGATTCGTTTACTGGAATGAGTCTGGAAGTAAGAACATAGAGTATGTACCCATTCTTTGTATAACATTACTTAGAGATTTCAAACCTGATATTCAGTTATCAAGTTCGCTTTCACTTCACCCATTTGTTTGTTAGTAGTTTTAGCTGTTACCCTGAAAGTAGGCATATTTGTGACGAATTTATTTATGTAGTTTCTGAGCCCCAATATTTTTACGACGTAACTAGAGTCCAACCACATATTCTCATTAAAATGATTTTTCCTATTTTAAATAAGAATCCTGGATGAATGAAAACCATCCACCTGAAAAAACAAAGTTTCAAAGATTTGTACCGTCCTTTTTGGCCGAAATATCAAATTTATTAGCTCAAGTTCAACGCTTATTACAACCTATGCTGTCAGCCTATGGTTCAGTGTCATCTGTGGCTGGATTATCTCGAGAATTGGATTCCATTCATTCAGTCCTTGCAGATCGTTTGACTAAGGAACTCAAACTGTTACTAGCAGTATGTAGATATATTTCCAAATCGTTATTTTTGTTCTTTTCTTAATGAAAATGTGTTGTAAGAAATATATAGACGTTCTGAGTTGAATCAGTTTATGTTAGGATCCATATTTTTTATGAAATGCTATATAACAAAATGCATCTTTGTGTGCTGAAACTTTTTGATAATCATTTTGTACTGGTCGTTTTTATGGAATTATATTGTTCAGTCAATATTCTTGTAATAATGTGACACATTTACGGAGTTTTATGAGGGCTGGCGATACTACAATAATACTCAAATAGTAGTGTTGCGTGGTTAGAATATGCAAGCCGTGCTTTAACCGCTGTGCCATTTCTCTGTCCACATTCTTATACTCCCCATGAGCTTTCTATTGTCTGGACTTGTCGGAAGGTTCCTTTTTCAATGTGTACACTACATTTCTCAGGTTGAATTCATCTTTCAAACATTACTCAAGTAAAACAATCAATATCTAAGCTTATAGAAACGCATTTTTCTCTTTTTTCAGCTAACTCAAAGATATTCGTTTAAATAGTGTTATTAATCCCAAATTCTTAGTTTTCCTAACAATGCTCAGTGAAGGTTAGTTTGTGCTTAAGTTCTAAATGAAAATACAGAATCCATACTTCCACTTATTAACTATTGTATACCTAAACAACCGAAATTAGTTCATTTTGTACGGTTCGGGTTGACTGGTGAGCTATGTTTTTCTGATAATTCTATGACCTTATTAGGTACTCTTTTTTGTAATTGGTTACATTATTGTCCTCTCAGTTAGGAAGATCAGATTTTTTTACCGAATATCCAAACTTCTGTAACGAATTCCTCTCTGCGGGCTGGTTATTGGTACTTTTATTTGTCATTCTTTTATACTACAACCAGTAGCATATGATTTTCTGAATTATACGTATATATCGTCGCGATAATCTGGAAAGGGGTTCACAAATCAGTATTAATTTTGAAACAGTCATACGTTTCTTAAAGTTTACATTTTCTGTCTGGTCTACGTTTCTCATGAGTTTGACAAATAGTTCTGCGAAAATCGCTAATGTATTTCACGTTAAATTTGCCTATCAGAATCAGCTGGATTCATAGAAGCTTAGTTGCTGACTCTCTGAAATTACCTCTTTATTTCTGTGTTTTTATCAAATAACTTGATGCAGCTGAAGTCATGATTTCTATAGCAAATATACTTATCATCATGCTCTTATATATGTTAACATAAATTTATCTTTTTATCGACCAACATCTTTTTATATATATAATCTATATTGGTAACCAGTTTGCTAACTCATTTCTCTTTGTTTTCCTAATACTAGGCTACTCGAACAGTTACAGATAACAAGGAACTGATTTTATCAGCCTGTGAACTAGTTGACTTACTCCCTAAGAGTTTTCATCTCGATTCGGATATTATAAATTGGTTTATCTCTCATCATCTAACTGAGTATAAGGAGCTATTCGATCCAACACAGACTACTGCTTGGTTGGATAAAATCGATCAGCGATACAACTGGTTAAGAATTAATTTGGTCCCCTTAGAACGTTTATTTATTTCAGTGTTTCCTCCCTCTTGGCTGGTGACTGAAAGGTAAGTTCAAATATATAGTTTGGTAGCATAGGTGTATCTTGGTATCATTACCAAGGTTTGAATTGATGATTTCGAATAAACTGCGCATTGGCTAGGTCTCAGTAATAAGACTAATGATGGATTTGTAATAATTCAGTGAGTAGAAAATTAAATGTCCGACGTTTCGTAACTAAGGTGAAGTCGCTTGTTTAGAGAGTAAGTAAATAAATATATTAAATTTACGCAAGTTTAAATAGCACAAAGGAACTACAAAAATGTTTCCTACGATCAAAAACGTCAGAAATTTAATTTTCTACTTATTGTGTTATTACGAATATATTACCATTTTTACAATATATGTATGCAATTCCTTAAAATGATTATCGAGGTTTGAAACAAAATCAAAGTCAGACCTCAGTATTATGAGTTCCGAGCAATGGGTCACTTAAAATCATCACTGAAATCCAATCTTCCTGATAGTCATGCTAGAATCAGTTGAAAGATAGTGGTGGAGAAAAAGTTAAGCTAAGTGGATTGTTTAATATATTATAACAATTTGTGCTCTACCATTGGGAGACTATCACTGAAATTTTGGTAAACAACAAATTTTAATTAGGGAAACAAGGTTCTGAAAACAAAGTTCATAGCATTAGATACTGACTACATATGTTAACCCCCTTTATCTAGATGTAAGTTACCAACAATACAGGATTTATTTTGCGGTTGTTTTTCGGTAGGGTCAAAAATCACTTCTGTTCTTTTTCATGGTTGCTGCACCAGGTAAGTCACCCCGCTTTGCCATTTGGAAGGTGGAAAAGTACAGTTGGTATTTTTAAATTTTAATTATCATAAAACTTCTGAAAAGGATGGGCCCCATATTGTTAGCTGTACACTCTAATTAATAACTTAACTACTGGTGACGTTTTACTAATCTATATTCAATCACACTAGTGTGACTAGTGTAACGTTATATATTCCACTAGGCTTGATCAACATCTACTGATCAAGTCCAAAAATAACTATTTAATTGGCTTGGGATTAAAATGCATAGTATTTGATGTTGAATGATTAGGGGGTATCATCAAGCGGCTGTGGAGTTAGGTTTCAAGCCTGTCGGTGTTAATCAGAGAGGTCTGTCTGGGGCCTCGATGAAATTCATTTCTCTAGATCATTATACTCCCAAGATCACCAAACTATTGTCCTAAAGTACATTTCTATATATTTTTAACCTATCTTCATTTTAACGCCGTATATTTATACATTTTCTCACAAAACAAATATACATAAGGGTATACTTAACACGGCCTACACAAATTGTATTTCCGTGTTAACATTGGTTGATACCTAAGTTTGAAAACTTGTTTATTGCCATATATACTGTACTCATTCAACTATTCCCGAAAACTCTTCATAATGATTTATGTTAACTATTTAGATTTGTTTTGGAGTTTTGTCATATTACACGTGGTGGCTTAGAAACTGTTATGAAACGACGTCAGTCGGAACTTACCCATAATCTAATTGTTTTCGCATTGCAACGCACCTTATCCTTCGAGGCCAGTTTGAATAAAGCATATACGTCTGAAGCGCTAGAAGAATTACAATCTATGATAGCTAGCGGTAAGAGTATGGAGCGTTCATCTAATCCATTTGATGATAATGAGGATGAGGAAGATGGTTTAGATGATGCACAATCTAAAAATCCTGCAGAGGCTAAGGATGATTCATCAACAAATGATTCTAAACACAATTGGAAAAAGCAGATTTTTGATGGAATTATATCTGGGTAAGTAAGTATAAATCTTATTAGTCCATAATTTTGTGTAGTTAAATACTGTTCAGGTTACTGGGGAAATCCTCAAAATATTGACTCGTCGAATATTTAACTTTAATTCATTGAGTGAAATAAATGTATTGTATTGTTTTAGCTTCGTTTTAGCGTTGGTGTGATGTATATTTGTAGGATTTTCCATATCATTACTTTATGAGTGTCATTTCACTAGTTGTAGGTTGAGATTATATAATGACCATCGTGTGTTAAAAAGCTCAAATTCCTAGTTTATAAGATCAACGTTTTCAGAACTGTTATAGTGAATCATTCAATATTTCCATGGTAAGGGAAGTTAAGAGTCTCTCTCCAACAAACTGGTTGCTAGGTTGGTATTTAGTTTCACTTCATTTTAGGTGGGTACATTCGTTATAAATAACTCACTGGCTTTCATATAAGTGTGAACATAAACACTTTAAGTGTTGTGGTGTTAATGGATCTAGAACTATTTAGAAGCAAGTTGCTGCCATTTTCAAAGCGCTACAGATGAACCTCCACTTTAATGAGAAAAAAACACGTATACACTGTGATATTCAACATGGACATTCAAGTGCCTAGTTGGTACTATAATGTTGGAAATAGTTGTGCAAAAGAACTCATCGGCGAAATAAGTTATGCGTTATATTTGTAACTTAAGAGTTGATAATATCTATAATGAGAAAAAGTGGGTTGTTTTCTTTTTCTAGCATTTATTTAAAATGAACACTGTCTTCAAAGTACATTGATATCTTTTTATAAATACCTGATTGAATGAGTTTACCTTATAACATTTAGTAATTTGGCACCACTAATAAGCCAATGTTTCATCTCTTATTCAAACACAAGACGAAATTAGTAAATTCAAACCAACATTAATCACTTAATCATGTGCACTGGTTGACGTTTTCCCTCTGTTATTACATCAACCATAATATTGTACATCATTACCTATCCTTTAATAGTTTATTAGTGTTGTTGAAGTATTAACCAGTCAGTTTTATTTCAGAAAACAACACCTTGGCGTTGTGATTATCATTGTGTCTGAGTTTATTTCCGCTCAATGATATATTGTAATCCTGAGGGTTGCATAATATGGATAATATTGTCCCATTATGTATTTTTTTGCCTAATCACTTTATTCATTTCTTTCCTTCCTTTTTTCTTTTTCGCCATCTTTTCTACTCCTCCTTTACATCATTCTTTTTGTCATCATTATTATTGTCAGAAAGAAGTTAGGGAAGTTGTTGGATCTCATTGAAATCACGGGCCAATGGAACTTAAATCACCATTGAAAACCCTGAAGCACTGGACGGTCGTCTCGTCCTAGCATGGGACTCTCCATCAGTGAGCATCCACGACCCCACATGCGAGAACCGAACCCGAAACCTCCGGTTTGTGTGTGAGATCGAAGGTCCTGGGTTCGACTCGCGCGTGCGTAGTCGTGGATGCTCACTGCTCGGGAGTCCCATGCTAGGACGAGACGACCGTTCAGTGCTTCCAGTTTTTCATCGGTGGTCTAACTTCCACTGGCTCGTGATTTCAATGAGATTCAACAACCTCCGTAACTGCTTTGTGACAGTAATAATAATGACATGAAGAATGATGTACGAAGATTTCATATCAGTTCTGTATGAATTATTGTTCATAATTATTTTCAGCTGTTTCGACCAATTCTTTGACCTCTATTTGGTTCATTTGGATAAAGGTCTGAGAGAACAAATGACAAATCGTTTGATTGGTGATTTCACTGTTAATAAATCAAGCTTTGAGAACAGGGATCTTGGAGATGTATTCAGAGATGGTAACATGTTACAAATTGGTGAAATATTACTCATATTTGTCTACTTTATTATTAAGTTGTATGGATAGTTTTTTTGAAATGCTTGCATATTCTCTGCAACTTAATTTCGAAATTTTCACTTCGAAAGGTAGGTCATAGTAGGTCTATCGAAGATAGAGCATTTTCTCGTAACTGTGTACATAGTTAAATGCCCCCGAATGCTCTAGTACGGCCGAGGATGGGGAGAGTCAGCTCTCCCTCTGGGAATGCTCTCACATGGCCTCGCGTATATAGCTTCTGTCAGGGCAGTCCTACTCACTGCCTTCTCGTGGCGGGGGTGTTGTTCACGAAATTGAAAGGACGAAAAGCGAATGTCCGGCGCTTTAACTGGGCTGGTGGACACCGTGAGTTCACTTAGGGGAGTTGGTAAACGCTGATTCCATACCAATGGTGCACATGGGCCCCAGTATCCTGCGGGAACAAATGGCGTATGAACCAATTGTTGGTCACCAGCTACCATGGGACTGTATCTCCTGACGTTGGTTCACTGCCTTGTGGGTCAGACGTTTAGGTCAAAGGCTCGTGGTGTGGCCCCCTAAGAAAACCACCAACTTCGGTCTGGACACCCGGGAAGTGTCATAGCCTTCACACATATCAAATGAGATCTGTGTGGCGCATATATATTTGATACCTCCTTGTACCAATATCTATGTGTTAAAATAAAATAAAAATAAACATAGTTAAATTCACAGGTACATAACAAATAATAACTTAAACTACTTGTTTACACTATCATTTTAGTAACACGTCTTCTGAATCTAACACTATCAATAGACAATAATTTCGTTTGTTAGAAGTGTGATATTTAAGTAAAAAATACGAATAGTGTACCTGCCTTTAAATTTTTCCCGCTATTTATTTGAAAGCGAAAATGCACATTCATTTGATTAAATCGTAACGGTTATTCGGCTGTAATTTCCAACTCTGACATCGCTAGTCAGAGTGATATGATCTGACTTTTATCACAGTGTTGGTATTTTTATTATTAATATCCACGTTCAGATACATCCAATTTTTATTACTTTTGACTAGGAAGGAAATAGAAATTACTAGTTATTTCAGATTAATGTAGTTCAGTTTGGTGCTTGTGCTCCAGTTTTGAAGAGTACACTATTCAAAAGGTAAACACCTGTGGAAACTCTATTATGAAACAGTAAATTTATCCAGTTGACAGTAACAAATATGTCAGTACATCCATGTATTGCCATTAATGTAGCTATTATTCGTCAAGATCCAGTAAAACACATCATCGCATATACCATTTGGCACACTTGTCTTTCTGTGCAAATTAGTCCAACCGATTTCTCGATGATTATCACGAGACGGTTTCTATCCTTTTTTATAAACTGGAGCGTCCAGTGTCTGAGATCAGTTATGTGGCATTAATTCCATTTTCCAGACCTTAACTAAGGTCTCAGTCAATTTAATTTCTAAAACTTAATTATTATCCTTAAAGATCTTCGGATTTAGTCCATCTGATTGCGGTGCTGTGCGTTTCTCCAGATTAGCTATAACCTTTTAAACTTCAATAATAGTCTGGGGACTTGTTTTAATCTGCAGTTCCGATTATTTTGGAATAGTAGATAACTCGGGTAGTTCTGGATATTTTGTCTGTGTCGCTTTTGTTGTGTCCTCGGTCTTACTGTTTATATTTGGAAAAAGTGAGCCCTGTGAATTCCCGTGACGCGAAGTAAGAACACGAAAGACTGGTGCAATGAAGATTTATCAACTCTATAAAAAAGTTCAAAAAACATCCTCATTAGACCAAAATATACTCATTTATATACTGATTTCTACACACTGTAGGGCAAATAAGTAGAGTTACTGCGAAAGCATACATACTAAGTGTAGTTCACCTGAATTGATGCAGGAAGTATAAATGTCATATTAGACGACAGTCCACATTTACCATATTTAGCTGAGCTCATACTGAATTGGTACAGGAAATATTGACCTAAATTGATGTCACTTTTTTGTCCCATCTGAAAAGTCTGTTATTACTTATCGCCTCTACCTTCACCTATTTGGCTTTCGCTGCCAACCACTCCTCACGATCATTTGGTAGACATTTTGTCCGTCTACGTCTAAGTTACCTTTGCCCCTAATCGTGTTCGGAGCCTGATGGGGATGAGTTTCTGAACATGTACCAATTCAGTAGGTGTCACCGAAATCCACTGATTTAGCATAATAGAAGTTTAATTCACACTGTTATTCTTCTATTTCCGAAAATCACTGTTCAATATTTTAAAGCTTTTTTTCATCCTAATGGGCCCATTAGGATGGAAAATAGCTGAGCGAAGTGGAAGAAAAATGGTACATTTAATGATAACGGATGCACACTACAGGATCCGCAAATACCAACACGTCATAGAGGACCAAAAGATGAAGCTACAAAGGAAATCTTGACAACAGCCATCGAGATATCATGCAAACGACACAGAACAAGGAAGAAACACCCTAAAGAAAAAACTAATCAAGATCTCAAAACACCCATGGAAGAAAACACAAACAACTGCGTGATCAATCTGTCAAAACAACCACTAACAAATACGGAAGAACACCTACTCCAAAAAAGGATTAAACTACAATACAATCGAAGCCTCAAAGCTGGAATTCTTCGCACCACTAGAGTCATCACTCAAAACTTCCGGAATCAGTGAAGAAACACAACAGGAAATAAGACAAACTATAGTACCGCTAACCCAACAGGTGAAGGAAAACAGCCAACTGACTCCACAAGAACAAAAGACTTTGAAGGAACTCAGAAATAGAAAGGATATTGTCATATTACCAGCGTACAAAGGACGCACCTCAGTAGTCATGGACAAAGAAGAATACGTCAAAAAGCCGAAGAACTACTTGAAGATAAGAGCACATACAAACTATATTTTAAAGCTCATATAACAACTATCTTGTAACTAGTTAGGATGTGAGGTCGTTTCACCACTACCACTGTACATTCTAGGCCTTTGAAATAAAACCATCTTACTGATTTAATTACATGTTGCTGAAGATATAAGAAGGGATGTATATGCTAATCAGCCTTTAAAAATAGGTTCCAGTCTCCTTATTTGTTACCATTCTTATTATTATAAGGTTGATAGCTCGATTAATCTGCGGGTTTGTGTATTCAACTTACCTTTTTTTCTTTAAGATTAAACAGGTTTTCCGTTTTCTAATCATATATTCAGAATTTTTTATGTAGATTTCTGCCGTAAAATCTCGGATCATACTTTAACTTGTTTTTTGTCTATTGCTTATCTTTCAGACAATCCATTTGACACTGTACAAATCAAACCAAATCCCAATGACCCTGGCGAGAATACTCTATATTCTGCTACAGATTTATTCTTGTTCTATAAACAAATCTTAAAACAAACTCTCCAGTTGAATCGGGGTCATGGTTTGTTAGGACTTGTTCGTCTTTTAAGGCAGTATTTGTCTGAATACACGGTTCGTGTGCTCTTGGCTCAAATTCCAGGCTTAGCGATTACCAATACTAGTGGAACTAACGTTGGTTTATCTGCACCGGATGTTGCAGCGAAAATGGCGGCATTCGGTTTAAGCAGTCTCTCAGCTCTTGGTAAGTTTGTCATATTTCATATTATTACGTAATTGCAAATCATAGGACTTGGTCGTGGTCAAACGGGACTCGGTGCAGCTCTAGAAAATATTAGGACACAAACAAAAAACAGTTCTGCGCAATCTGATCTGATAAGTTCATCAAGCAACCAGGTGATTAACAATTTACTTCGTGATGATGTACAAGTAAGCTCTTATTTATTATGGTAATGGTATATTTATGTTTTAAGTTATCCCGTTGTCTAATTGATAGTTTACTACATGGAATGCTTAGTGTTTATACTTCAAAGAATTGTTTGAGAATAAGATTTTTCGACAAAAATATCAAGGGATACCTTTGTACTCTCTCTAAGTCAGTCAGTCATTCAGATACAACGTAAGACCATGCACATATGTGCATCGGTCCAGGTTGCCATACCGCATCAGCACAACAAGATGAACACCGGATTCATAGCAGTGGTTAGGTCAAAGGTGGTAATATATAAGAGAAAGATTGCATATAGAGATATAGTACAAAAAGAAAGAATTGGTTCGTAGAAAGAAAGATATGAAGTGATTTTAATCTCTTAGTTTAAGGGAAGACAGGGAGTGTATACACCGACGCCATTGTGATAGATTCTGAGCCATGTCACCAAGAGTCTCCAACCATTGGTTACGATAGTCACGCGGACCCCAACCAAGTAGTCTGCATCTACCAACATGGCTCAGACTAGAAGTTAGTGACTTCAGGCACTGATGCCACGTTTTGGTTTGGCCGCCCCTAACTTTCTTCCAACCATCCCCTACACCGGTTAGCATTGCACGTCGTGGTAATCGGTGTTCAGGCATACGTAATACGTGGCCCAACCATCTCAGTCGATGAAGATTCATAACCTCATCAACTGATTTACCATCATTCCCTAATACCCTGCGTCTAACCTCACTATTACTTACCCGGTGATCCCAGCAGATGCCAGCAATATTTCTAAGGCATCTGTGGTCAAATACTAGCAGCTTACGAGTGTCTTCTACTCTCAATGGCCATGTTTCGCTGCCGTAAAGTAAAACAGAACGGACTGCCGCGCAGTATACTCGTCCTTTTATTGATAGACGGATATCTCGCCTTCGCCATAGGTGACGCAAGTTGGCAAAAGCCAAACGAGATTTTCGAATCCGTGCTGAGATTTCGTCAGACACCAACCCATTAGGGCTGATCAGACTTCCAAGAAAAGTGAAGTTGTCGACGCGTTCGACTACTTCACTCCCTATCCTTAGTTCAGGTGTTGACGCAGACCAGTCCTGAAGCAACAACTTGCATTTAGAGGGAGAGAAGCGCATTCCAAACATTCTGGCATTGTTGCTTAGTGCTACCAAAAGGCTCTGCATTTTTTCAGCGTCTTCACCAAACAGGACTATGTCATCTGCGTATTCTAAGTCGATAAGTGGACCTCCTGGATGAAGATCAATACCCGAGAACTCAGTCGACGAGAAAGTTATTTCCATCAGTAGATCTATGATGAAGTTAAACAAAAATGGGGAAAGTGGACAGCCTTGACGGACACCACTTGAGGTTGCAAAAGTAGATGACAGTTCGCCATAAGCTCTGACTCGACTAGTAGTGTTCGAGTAAAGAGCCTTTACAAAGTTTATGTATTTCTGGGGTACGCCTTTCAATGACAGACACTGCCACAGAATCTCGCGGTTCACAGAGTCAAATGCTGCTTTTAAGTCAAGAAAGACCACAATTGTCGAACGCCGATAAGCATACCTGTGTTCTAGAACCTGATGAATGGTGAATATGTGGTCGATACATCTACGATCAGGTCTGAAGCCGGCTTGATTTTCTCGTGTTTGCAGTTTACGAGTTTTAGTTAGGTGTCCGATGATTATCGAGGCTAGTTTTGTAGATACTATATTAGTTAAATTAATCCCTCTATGGTTGTCACAGGATGATTTTAACCCTCTCTGATATATTGGGACGATAAGTGATTGTGACCAGTTGGATGGGATAACGTCTAACTCCCAGATCTTAGCTAAAATATTAGTCAACCTAATCGCTAAAATTGGACCACCATCCTTAAAGACCTCTGGAGCCAGTCCATCTGGACCAGCTGCCCTTCCTCGTTTCAGATTAGCTATAGCCTTTTGAACTTCAGCAAGAGTTGGGGGACCTACTTCAATGTTCCATTCACGCTGTCTGGTAATGGAGGGTAGTTGTAGAGTAGCTGAAGGCCAGTTGAACTGTTCTCTGAAATGTTCCGCCCATCGTTCTAAACGTCTGAACTGGGAGCAGATGAGAGTATCGTCTTTTTCCGATATAATCTCAGTTACACTTGACTTATTAATTCCAGTTTCTTTTATTAGTCTATAAAGCTGTCTTGTGTTCCCTATAGTCGCCGCCTTTTCCATCTCTTTTGCTTTCATTGCCCACCACTGCTCACGGTCGTTTCTTAGACTTTCTCTTAACCTGGATCTGATTTGTTGTCGCTCTTCATCATGTTCGGAACCTGATGGGACGAGTTTGCGAGAATCCATCAGTGTGATAGACTTTGAAGAAATCCACTGGTTCTTTGTAACTCTGTGGTTTAAGTTGCTAATAGATGTCACTGCTGTTTCCCCAGCTGCTTGTATATCTTTCCAAGCAACATCTGGGTCAGCCTCGTCTTTAGAACTACCTAATTGTGAACTCAATTGTTCCTGGAACCTACTTTTGGTTTTCTCGTTACTCAACTCAGTCCTAATGGGTCTTTTTAATGTGGCTTTTTTGCGTCCAGTGAGGCGCAAGCAGATGTGTGCCCGTATTAGGGCGTGGTCGGAGTCCAAGCAGGTACTCCAGGATGAGCGACAGTCTTCTACCGACCTTCTCCAACGATGACTGATGGCAATATGGTCTATTTGAGTCCATCGTTGGTTTGGTGTAAGGGGTCGCCATGTTAGACGATGTCTCTCCTTATGCTTAAAATTTGTGTTTGCTAAAAATAAGCGATTGTCTGAGCATAGTCGCAGCAGACGGTTATCATTATCTGTTCGCAGTGCCGGAATGCTAAAATATTCACCTAAATGCCTTTCTGTTTGGTTTAAGCTACCTACCTGAGTATTGAAGTCACCTGCTACGAGTACTATATCTGAGCGTTTACCTTTCTGAAGAAGTTCGGACAGCTTTCTGTAAAATTCATCTTTCACATCATCTGAGCTGCAGTCAGTGGGAGCGTAGGCAGAAACGACGAAAAGGCAACGACGTGTGTCCCTATCTTTCCGAGTTCTTACGGAGCCGTTTAGCCGAACAGGACATAGGAGACTGTTGTCGGGGATCCACTCTAGCAGTGCTTGTTCCGCCCTCATGCTTAGTGCTATGCATCCACTTGCCAGTCCACGAGAACTGGCTTTTTCGTGGGAGGTTTTTGACGTGTTAGCTCCGTTCTTCAAAGGGCCTTACCGCCGGAGACGGAAATCCGTGAGGTAAGGTGAGGTGTGCATTTTTAGGGTTGACCTTTTCTAACCCTACCCCTCCTTGTTGGAAGGCAGCATCGCTGTCATGCTGGTTGTCTGAAGGAAACACCTTACTGCTGTCACACCTCTGTACAGTCAGCAGTACGACTTCGCCTTCGGACCTTGGGTTTGTTGCTTTTAGTCTTACCGCTCTTCAACCGACCTGTCGGACATGGTAGGACCTTGAGGAACGGTTGTTCTAGCCGATAGGCAAGCTCGACCACCACATCAAGGTAGCAACAACGGTCGGGACTCTCTCTAAGTGATGGATAATAGATAGAACTTTTTATTGAATTTCAACTTAAATAGATACTAAATTATCGATCGAGTTACCTTATTACATTTTATAAGTAAAATAATGGTGACTAATATAAATGGTGAACCTGAAGGAAACCCTACAACAAAGTGAATGGCTCAACAATTTCACAAGGAATTACACATTTACTTTGAGAGTAAATAGAAGTTATCACTTTAAGCAAGAAATCCCGTTATTAAAGATCAAATTTTCAAGGTGTCATATCTATCGGAGCTGTAATACACTAACTGAGTATATCCATTAAAATGACGGTTCATTCAGTGAATCTGGATCAGCCTTGACAATACGAATAAAAGATAAGTTATCGATACTGGGTTATGCGGCGCATTTATATCATTTTAATTGCTGTGTGCTTGTATATGTCTGCACCCGCTTCCCTGAAATGTTTATTATTAGGGTGTTACTATGGAGTTCATTCCAACTGGGATTTTGATCTATTAGTTACTTTAAATTTCCTAAAAATATCGTTTTAGCTCCGGTTTCTTAATCCGGATGGCTATTGCTTCAACCGTTTAAAGGACTTTGAGTGTGACAGGTTTTGGAAAAAAAATTACTGAACCGATAAATAATTGAAAAGGATTAGTTTGTACCGGCACTATAACCAGTTTGCACTAAATGAGCCAATAACGAACTGTTCACTTTCTTCACTAGATCTTTGCTTAGCCACGCTGCGAGGTGTTTACAAGGACGAAAATGTAAATTCCTAGAGTTTCGACTTTCTCTACAAGGGCAGTCAAACTGATAAATACAAAATGAGGTGGTGATTCTAGGTAATTCATCTTTTAGATTCAGTGTAACCATTGGGTGTGTAGAAAACACTAATCGTAGTTCTCCGGCGTCGAATGATTTTTGGATTGTTCTGCGTAATCTCTGAATTAATAGTACGTTAGCAGCGTCCCCTCTGAATTGTAGGCGCATGGACAGGGATTTCTTATTCGCCGTTTGTATTTCGCCTATTCTAACCTTCGTGATCATATATTTATTTATAAAATCTCCAGAGTATCCGTCTTTCCTAAGAGTATTACTCAAGACGCTTAGCTCTTCAACTATATCCGTAGAACGTATATACGTATTCAGTAAGTAAGAGTTTTAATCAGGTTTCTTTTACACATTAGAGGTACAAAGCTAAGGAAATGTATGTACTGCCCTGTACAGTTATTTTATGTTTAAATTCCTTCTTATCGGCCCATTAGCTCCCTTGGTTAAGGGAACGTCCAGAAAGGCTAATTCACCTTCTTGAGATGTACACTTAATGGCTGAAGGTACTTCATTACATTGCCCAAGAATCTCTTGTTGTGATGTACTATCTTTACAAAGGATGAATGTTATCATCCGTATATCGACAGTAAAATGTGAATTTTTGAATAGTCTTTTTGAGTGGACCATTTTCTAGTTTGGTTAGAAAAATGTCAGCTAGTATAGAGCCCATCGCGACTCCATCCATTTTTCTATAGATTTCTCCGTTGAACTTGAAATTCACATTCATGGTGCATTTCAGTAATAACTATTTTGTGACATTGAATGGAATGGTAGTTTCGATTTCATTTCCTCTAAGTTGTTCACATATATATTCTCCAGTATCCATAAGTGGAGCATTTGTAAATAATGATGTCATATCCAAAGACATCATCTTTTGTTCCATAGTATTTGCATTTTCGATCTTATCAACAAATCTGAATACATCCTTAACACTGTTTTACAAGTACAAAAGAAATATCTTCAACTGCTTCTCCTCCCTTGACCAACCCCATGGCCAATTACTCAATAGTAACCTTAGCTATGAAATTGCCTAATTTGACTACTATACATACAACCTTTCTTAATCAAATATAATTGTAATATTATCAGAATGGGTTTTGTGGAGATTTTTAGAAATTTCACTGGTTGAAATCATGTGTCAATTGAAGCTAGACCACCATTGAAAATCTGGAAGCACCGGACGGCCATTTCGTCTTAGTATGGAACTTCTCAACAGTGTGCACTACAATCTCCACAATAACCCTCATTCTGATCATAAAAATATGATTGTCTCTATTATCCTTATTCACATATTTTTGTATGGCTATTATTATTGGCTTAACATCATTGATCTTCCGAATATATGATTCGTTTACTTCGCATTCATTCCACTTTATTATGTCTTACTAATTTTTTTACACATTATAGTCTTCCACTAAACATTTGATTGAATTTGTAATTGCGCTGTTATTTCTCTCACCTTATCTGACCCATATTTATTCTGATCATGGATCTTAAAATTCCACTTAACATATAAGCTGATTAAAGTTAACATTCTGTATGAGCCGTATCAACATTAACAATCCTATGTTGTTTAACAATCCTAAATTCACATGCTATAACTTTAAACGGTGCACTTTTCCCTAAACGTGGCCACTTTTCGGATTATTAATTTTGATATATAATTGTAGAACCTGGAAATAATTTATCAATGAGAATATTCTATGTTCATGTATTAGTCTTTTAAAAAATATTTGTATACTCTGTAAGTTCGTACGTCGTCTTAATTTTAATTGCACCATAAATCTTCACAGATAATTTACGAGCAAGATCATATTACTACTAATAATAATACGTGTTTAATATTTGTATTCATCAGGGAGTTCGACTGAGTAAGGATGATGTCTACAAGGTGTGTGTCATACTTGTTACAGCAGCATTTTGTCTGAAGACTGTTGAAGATTTAGAGAAGCGTCTAAAACATGAAGTAAGTTATAATCAGTTTTTCTTTTTGTATAAAGAAACCATGTTTATATCATTCAGTCTGCTAATTTTTTGAAACTATACCAGAAATATTATTATCGTTGTGTATTATATAGATGAAATTAAACTTTTGTTAATCAAACGTGCTAAAAGGTACTATCATTTTAAATGAATTTTCAATTCTCATAAAATATGTGGTCATAAATCTCTCCAGACTTTAAGATCATAAATGGTATCCCATATGTTTCGTCCCACCCACTTTCGTTTGGCCAACTAAAAAGAACCGATTGCGTAACAGATACACTTTCACTCAAAGTATATGAATCTATTAATGTAAGTCCATGTTTAATGCATAAGCAACCCTCAGCTAGCTAGGTTTTCAGTTATATCATTGTGACTAATGGTTTCTTGCTTAATGATTAGAACTTTCAGTTGAAAATATAGACGAAATTGAAAACCTTAGGATAATATACTAATGAATAATCTTCAGTTTTCTTTGATTGCATTTTTAGCTAACGTAAAATCGGTGGGATCATTTCAGCTATTCATTGAAGGTAGAATATTCGTTTGTTGATCCCACCCTATCATTACGGTATGAACTTGTGAGGATACTTCTCCCATTTTGAAATTTCGGATCCCCTTTTAACCTTGTTTAGTGCTACTTACCTTATTTTAAAAGTTTTCTCAGATGAGCTAACTTAGTGTTCGGATTCTTTCGTTTGAAGTAGTTCATGAAGCTTTCTGTTTTACACTTGATTTTTGCATCGTGGGGTTTTTCATAGTTCATTGAGTGTACTCTGTATGTTGTTAGATTTCTAATTATAAGAATAGGTGATAAACAGTTGTTTGCAATTTATTTACTAGGCGATTATTGTCCTATTTCAATTTCATATGAGTAATAGTCGTGTTTATCAATTTCGACGTTTTATTTGTTATATAACATTCATTTGTTTACTGATTTTTATATTAGATCAGACCACCTAGCTGGGGTTCAAAAATATCATTTGCTTCTGAACTTGATGGTTTAGCAACTTGTAGATCTGTTTGTGTCCACCGCCTGGTTGCAGACTTGGAAGCTGGTGTTGAACCGCAGCTAGTCGCTATGGCACGTTTACCTTGGAATAATCTTGTACAAGTTGGGGACCAAAGCGCCTATGTTACAGCCATTGTAAATCATCTTCGCACTCAAATCCCACTGATACGAGAAACATTGTACACCGTCAGGTAATTTATCTATTTTCTGTATGTGTTAACAATGTCTTTGTCGTATACAATCATCTTATATCTTTTTTATGCATTATTAGGCCAGCTTTTACTCAAATATGTATAAAATTTGCTGATGCATTAATTGCGAGATTCGTTAATGCCTTATATCGTTGCAAACCGGTCAATACTTTTGGAGCTGAACAGCTTTTATTGGATACTCAATCGTTAAAGGCTTCTCTTCTTCAAATGCCTCTTCTTGGAGCTAAGGTAAGCTAATATTCTATGTTGTTTTGATTATGTATGTAATTATGGACTAGGGTACAATACCAACATTCTATTGTCTTATATCAATGGCATAAATGATTTTTTATGTCTTTTGTCATGCATTATGAACTAACTAACAATGAAGGACTCACCCGACCGTTACTGCTACCTTGATATAGTGGTCGGGCTTGCCTGTCGTAATGAACCAATCGCGCTATATTGGCTGGAACAATCGTTCCTCAAGGTTCAACCATGCCAGGTAGGTCAGTTGGAGAGAGGTAAGACTAAAAGCAGCAAACTCTCGAAGTCACTAACTTCCGGTCTGAGTCATGCTGGTGGATGCAGACTAGGGGTCCGTGTGACTATTGTAACCAATGGTTGGAGACTCTGGGTGACATGGCTCAGAATTGATCACAATGGAGTAGGTGTATACATTGTTTGTCTTCCCTTAAACCATGAGATTAGAGCTGCTTTATACCTTCCTTTCTACGAACTAATTCCTTCTTCCTGTTTTATGTCATTACACATAATCTTTCTTTTATATATTACTACCATTGAATTAACTACTATGAATTTGGTGTTCATCTTGTGCTAATGAGGTGTGGCAACTTGAACCTATGCATATATGTGCCTGGTCCTAGGTTGTAGCTGACTGACTGAACTAACCATGAGTCCACTTTCTGATTATCATGTTTTACAAAATAACAGAAGACATTTACTTATAAAGCAGCACCTTGTTATTTTCTTATAATTCCGCTCATTTCCGAATAATAACGCCTAACATATAGATATCACGTTCGGTGACTTCTCAAAGTGTAAAAACATCTTATTATTATTTTCATTTTTAGTGGCCAATGGATCTGACTCTGATTTGGATGAACGTATGTATATACTGTGCATATAAATCTTCTATTTAACTCTGTATAGTACACCTAAGCTAACCCCGTTTGTCTGAATGCGGTAATAAGAAACTAAATATGGGTTAAGCTGAAAAAGGCGTTCAGCAGAGACTTCAAGAAAAACGGCGGTTTATGTGTCATGTGCTGATTGGGTTGCTATCGATTTTGTTATCAATTCCAGCATGTTTTCAGAAGTTTCCGAAATATCAAAGTCACACCCATAAATATTCTAATCTATTGTACCTAAACCAGCCCTGGAATTAGAAATTCATTTCATACTTCCTTTTTTTTGATATTCAAGTGTAGAAGATATTTAGGGGACTAGGAAGCGATTGAGAAGTTAACTACAATCGTCCTAGTATTAGATATATCAGATACAAGTCGAAAGTATGGGTTTCTTGTCTAACTAATTCACTGATTTGTTTATTGTGATGTATATATCAACACAGTCATTTCCCCCAGTATTGCGTTGAAAATCAATTTTAAATGTCTTACATTTTGTTTAAATCTTTTTGCTATTCAATATTTAAGATATTTGTATTTGAAAATTAGTCTAAAAGCTTTCAATTTACATTATTTATAGTTTACTCAGACACCTCCACGAAGCTTTACAAATCTAGTTCATGAAGGTATGGGGAAGGCGGAACGTATAATCAAAGCAGTTATGTTACCAGTCGGTGTCGCTACGCCAGGAAAGCAAGAGTCAACAACTCCCCCAAGTGGATTTGTAATGGGTCCAGTTGATACAAATGCAGCTAATGTATTTTTAGCTAGTTACGAACAATTATTACCTGATCTAACTCAAACTGATCTACAAAATGTTTTGGATATGAAAGTAAGCAATATAATGGACAACTTATCGTTTTCTGAAAATAATCTACGTTTGATAAATAATTTATTCTGCAATCATTTACTGTTTTCAATTAATATTTACAGAAATATCACTGAAATTAATCGTTCACTGTAGTTCCTTAAATCAGTCATATTATGCGCTCCATTGGCGAAGGAACTTGACTTAGACACCGCAAAACCGATATTCAGCAAATACTGAAAATAAATACTACCGATTGGACATTAAACTGATGTGGCTAAATAGATACTTGTCCGTAAGCATTACTGCTGTTAGGTTCGCTTCACTGGTGACATTTTTCAAAACGATCGTGACAGAATGTTAGACAGTTGCAGAACTGACCATTACTTTGCTATTGATTAAAGAATCAACCGAAACATGCGGTGCCCAAACCGAAGCAGGCACCCTCACACAAATCGAATGATTTATGTGGAGCATATCTGTTCGGTTCCTCTATGCACCAATGTTAACGTGTTTAAATAATAATAATAATAATAATAATGATAATAATAATAATAATAATAATAATAATAATAAATCATTCATATACCATAATATGAATTAATTAGAATTCATAATCATGTTTTGATCATGATTTTTGTCCATTTTGTCCCATTTAGAATAGTCCAGTCAGTTGAATAGCTTGAATCGACTCATGATCTCAACTATTTAAATTTATAAAAAATAAATTGTTTGGTGTCAACAGTAATGATGGTTTATTTTTCTTTGTTTATTTTTGGCGACAAAAATTCGAATGTTTAAGATTCTAGATTAAATCAAGAAAATCACTTATTTTGTTGTATATTTCCTCAAAAATTAAGTCTCTTCCAACTTCCTTGTGTATTATTTTAATCTCTTATAATTGCATTAATTTGGTCTATTGGTAGATCTTTTGGCTTCTAAAATGTTGCTTCCTTTGAATTTATAATAATCCAAAAAGTGTAAGAAATCTAATTATTGCAGTCTGTGTCATGCCACGTACCCAAGCTGGTAAACTTTCTAAATTTACACGGTCTGAATCGAATACTGACAACTTCGTAAAGTGTTCTAATGTCGCAGATTGAATATTCTTAGGTTTTTCTATGTGCTTTGTAATAAGTTTAAGTCCTTGTTCAAAATCCAGTTGACTTTGAAAATACAGCACGCTGTTAATTTATTGAAGTACAGTAGGATTTACCTGTAATACATTTAAGACCCTTTATCCGAATACTTGACCAGATCTATATAATTCTCTTCCTTACTGTTTTCTGAAACAAGTGTCGTCGCGAATTTCCCAGTTAAAATCTTTCATTTTATTTGCAAATCAATTAATTAATACTATTGAGTTTTTCTTTTCTTTTAGGGTGTGAAATTCAGTGAACAACAGTTGATTTTAGAAATATTTCGTAGTAGAAATGAATTTAAGTCAGCGATGAAAGAAAAAACACCTGAAGTAACGTTATTTTGTTCTGTTGCAGATACTGCTATCACTGCTAGCACTTTTGTTAGTACTGCAATTAGTAACGTAGCTTTGACAGGGATAACGACAGTTACCGCGACCACCACTGCTCTTACGAGTTCCTTTGTAGCTACACCGAACTCTCCAAATAATCAGCATCAAAAATCGAAGCAGTCTGTGTCGATCTCAATGAATCCATTCGATTCATCTTCACCAGTAGAAGAGCGGGAGCAAATAACAGATAGGAAAGGAAAAATAGAAAAGTTATTGAATAAAAGACGATAAGAATATTACCGAATTGTAATTTTTGAATGTTAATTTTAATGAATAATTAATATCTTCATTGTTGCTTTAACTTCGTTTATTTTTTTCTCAACTCGGTCAAGTTTATTCTATTCCTTCTCCGTTTTGCTGTGTTAAAACTTTCGCTTGTCAAAGTAACTTTTCTGTTGGTGTGTATAATTAACATCTCTCTCTCTCTCCATATATATGCATGATTTATTCATACTACTATAATAATATACTACTATTATTGCCGGTTTAAAAACGTTGTACTTGGATGTTTTTTTATATCTTACTTCCTTTTATTAATTGTTTTATTACTTACTAGCTATATTGTGATAAAATGTTTGTAGGAAACTTTCTCTATATTTCTGTTTCTGTAACCTTATGGTATGAATTGAAATACCAGTTTGTTTTCTGACAATTTTCTCAAGAATAGCATGATACATATCTACTTAGTGCATCAGTTTTTATGGTACTGTTAAATTGGTTACTAATGTTTATTTTACTGTGCTAAATAAAAACCAACATTAAAAGGTGATTTTTGCTGGTCATTCACTTAACCTCATTTTAACCAAGTAATTTAGGTGCGTTTCTCCTTTATTAGCTTAAGTTGCATCAACGTTGGTCTATGTGATTGTTCTACTTTGAAATTTTGAGTATCTAGAGCACTGGTTTCTTCACATCTTGTAGAATATTTTCATATATCCTGGTAAATGTATTTTAGTTTAATAATAACTAACTGGAGAACTATGAAATCAGGTGACACACCATACTCCCGTTTGAAAAAAGGTACTTCGCACGACTAATTCCCTTCGTTTTCACAGGTTATAAGGTGAAATCCGAAATCTCTTAACCAGTATAAAAATTTGCTATGTAGTTGTGTCAATGACCTTTTACAGTTGTAAAAAAAATATTTGAGGTGGTGATTTCCAGCTGATTTGTATAAGCCATCTCCCAAATCGGTAACAAACAAATAAACATTCATAGTATTTCACGGGTTGGTTTTTTTACCTGTAGATGTCACATTCCGTATGTTAATTAGTTGATCGACAGGCAGCTTATTGTAGTCCGATATACTTCTATTGAGAAGTGTGTTACTTTGGCTTGAATAGTATAACAAGTTTTCGATAATTATACCACTGCACTTGAAGATTTTTAGCTCATCAATTTTACCAACATTATAAAAAATAATTTGTCAGTTTGTATCCAGTAGTCTTAATGGACTTTCAATTTATAGATGAGATTAACTAGATGTTCAATCAAATCAGTTAAAATATCAGGATATTATAGAAGTTAAATAAAACCTTAATTATACAACATCAGTAACTCTGAAGTCTATAGAAAAGTAATTTTCATAAGCTCTTGATTAGTGTCTATGGAAACATGTATATAGGCAGATCCATTCATACACTGTACATAAGCTCACTTTTTCCACTGACTAATAGTTTCTAAACTTCTGCTTACATCCTAAAGCTAAAAAGAGACTGCGTAAACTATTTGTGATCAAACAATCGGACTTTTTTTGGTGATAGATTGTGTATTTGTTAAATTTTGAAAGTTACCTTTTCTCAGACATGAGAATTACTGGTTATCAAGTTTGTCGGAGATTAGGCATCATTAATTAAGTTATGTATTTGAGATTACAAATGCTAGAAGTAAGCATAATCCAACTAGAAAAGAAGAAGGAATTTCTATTATTAACAAGTTGGATAATCGAAGCCTTGGAAAACTCAAAGAATTCCCTTATTTATATCTTTACATATCGACTAATACTATATTAGTATATGGAAAAGTTAGTCCCATGGGTGACAAGCCACCTTTGGACCTTGTATTAATTGACCATTAAGCGTGGATGTATGTGCCTAAGGTACCTATTGCGTACAGACACTTGTTTGTTTATTCGCCAAAATCTATAGAGTCCGTATTTGTGGAAAGTTAGGTATTAAAGGAAACATGTCTGTGACAAAATAACCTGATAAATGAATATTTAAGATCAGTTTCGAAGCATAGACGATCAAAAAGTAAATATTAATGAAATTCCCCGACCGTAGCTGCTACCTTGACGCGGTGGTCGGGCTTGCCTATCGTGATGACCCAACCGAGCTATATTGGCTAGAACATATGTTCCTGTAGGTTCTACGTTGTTATTGACTGATTAATGAAATTCATGGAACGATGATTACTTAGTGTTGTGGTATTTCCAGTCATAATTTTAATTTCGTTCACTGATTGAAATATGATTCGCTGAATCAGTACCACGGCGTTTATTTTGAAATTTTTACATCTGAACAGCCCCATAATTATTGGCAGACTCCTGCTAAGAAAACTGATGATAGTGATAGTGAGGTTTTTGAAAAGTCAAGTTTGAACACTACATAAGTATAATTTTTTCATTTGTCATGATGATAGGTTATTGCTCAAACAACCGCACGTCGAACAGATTCTTTGGTATCATTAAAGGTAATGAATTACGTTCTGATCATACATTGTTTCAGTTATCAAAATAAACAAGTCATTGTCAAGTATGGGAACATTAAAAAACTTTTTAAGTTTCATTTTTATGAGAAAAATTTGTTTGATGTCTGGTACTTTCACATAAGGAAAATGTTTTATGTATATCTTGTTAAAAATGTCACGAAAATATGTCAGTGAGGAAACTGACTGATACTTAGGTTACAGTCAATTTCATATCATATAATACATTGTTTACTAACTGTTCTTGACATCCGATGGTTTGCTGAAGCAAAATAATAAATGCTTGTTATATCCACAAGATGAAATATTGTCAAGATTCTGTTAGTTTTCTCAAACCTACAATCTAAATTAATTCAAAGGAAAGTTCTGATAATTTTCAAGTCAAGTGTAGACTAGGTGAATTTCAGTACAAAGCCATTATTTCACTTAGGATTAAGATTAACAGTTTTTTTCAAATGAATTCAATGTAATTTTTTGTGTTGAATCGGAAAACTTGGAGTTGATGTATAATTGGAATTGGAAGTGATTAATTTACCAAGTTAATAGCAGTATAATAAGACAGAATAAATACCTTCATATTTCTGTTCCTTGTTGTTTCTTCATTTCTAATACACTAACAACAATAAAAGCTTCCCTATTTTTCCTTATCAGAATATTGTCTTCATCATTGTACTGATGGTGTACATACACTAATCTGTACTTATGTAAGGTTGCTATTAAGCAGTGACTACAAGTAAAACCGTTTTTCTTATAATTTTCTTAGGATTCCTAAATTTTTTAGTGATCTCGAATTGATCGTATTTCTGTTCAAATCAACATTCAAATGTAACCAATAATATTACAGCGTACACAAAACAGTGTGATAACCACCCTGGATAATAAATCTGTATTACCAGGGTAGGTTAAGGGAAGAACAAATTGTTTTTGAACACAAAGGGGGTTTCAGTTTCCGTATAGCCAAGGCTTCAGTAAACCTTAATATACGCCCTTGAAGGCTTTTGTACAACACTACAAATGCTGACTTGATATCAACCTTATAACCAGTCTCAACCAAATGTTTCGCAATGGAGAAAGATGTCTGTCTATCCTGTGATCTTATCTGACCATTGGAATTCATTTGTTTTTGCAGCCATTCGGGTATGTGTTTCTTCACCCTTACTTGCAGATCTCGATTGCTCCTCCCACATTGTTTTTGCGTACTTTATTTTTCTTTATTATGGCTTACCTTTAATCTGTCTAGTTGACCTTTTAGTTTTCATATAAAAATGTCTTAACAAGTATATGTGTGATCAGATTGTTCGAAATGTATTGCGCAAATATATCACATAATTCTGATAACCTTCGTCTTCTCATTGCATTGTCGAAATTTATAAAAGAGACTAATTGTTTTGAATATTCCATCGTGTTCGGCGTTCTAGCTGTATGTGATTTATCTCGGTAGTTTTCGAAAAATTGATTATTCTTCAGTGATATAACAGTGCACTATGATAGACTTATGAAACATTTATTATAATGTTGATACTAGTAGTAGTTTTGTGTTAATGCTTCTGAGTTAAGTATTGGTAAAAAAACATTCACTTCGTGGAGGCTAACACTGATAAAATCATACAATTAGATGGATTATGTATATATATATATATATATATATATATATATATATAAATTGCGAACCGACTGGTGAATGAATTCAAGCATACGTACTATTGACACTAGCAGATTTAACACAGAGCTATATCTCAGCTTTTCGGTGGAACATAAATATGACAGCCACTTCAGATTCTTTGGTCTGAAGATGAGGAGAACAGAACTAACTGTCAATTATCTGTAATTAAGTTTAGAGAGATCGTCAAACAGTTCTTTATCTTACAGATGGTGAGTAAACGCCAGTACTTTGGGGAGAACAGTTTTCTTGTACCGTAATTCACCTTTTGTGTTCCAGTTTAAAATCGATCAAAGTTAGTCCGAGGTTGTTTTAAACTCTATTTGTCTTTTCATGTACATTTGCCAAAGCTATTATTAAAAAATAACAGATTGGTGTTGACTGGGTTTTATGCATATACTTCAAAATATCTAGGATTCAGGTAAATAATGTTCCGATTGGTGAATAGCGACAGACAGAAACACTGCCAGTCTAAATTAATCAAACGAATTTAACTTTACTTAAACGTTTTTAAACATCTACAATTTGTTTGTTATCTCTATTTTTAACTGTGAAGTAGTATTTTATTCTGCTCGTTTTATGTTTAGGATCCCAATGTACTTACATAATAACTGTCATCATTATTTGTGTTATTACTGATACTGTTTTCCTTCTCATCTAAAACTGGATTCTTCTATCAACTGCACATGAGTTTATAAGTTTGTTCAAATAAGGGTTGTACTATCAGCCATATTCAATACACTAAGTTGATTAATTTATTAGTTCACTTTTGAAACGTTTGATTTCAGAATCAGCTTAGCAAATTACTGAAGTAGTTTTTGTTTGTTTGATTGAAAAATTACATATTTAATATAAAACAATTAAGGTTTTCGAGAAATCTCATAGACTTAACGGAAAAATCTAGAGCTAGGTTTATTGAATAACCGAATTATCTGCTTGAATAAAGTTTTAACAAGGAAACGCAATCAAGTATAGGATTTCTTAGTCACGGTTCCTAAACAATTCTTCTGTTGAATAAACGTGGGATTTGTACTGAACAGCATATTTATAAAAGATCTTGAAAGTTATTTTATGCACTAAAGATCTGCATACTGATAATCTAGTTAAGGGATACGTTAGAACACTTTTAAATAATAGGAATGAGTGTTTTGTACTAAATTATATTATAGTTGACTCTACTAATGAATATAACTTTACCCATCTTCGTGTTCAGATATATTTTAGATTGATTATGTCATCCTGACTATGGGTAACGTTATTTTAAGAGACATTTCATGTTTATCAAATTTAATAGTAATGGTTTATAAAAGGAAATAAATGCGATGAGTTAGTTTTAACATTTTTATTTCAGCTTAATACTGGTGACCAAAATAGTCACGTTTCAGTGAGAAAAACATATTAGTATCCAGCTTCCATTAAAATTTCAAAAAATACTGATAGACAAAGCATTATCAGGCACAACTTCATCATTAATATTTAGTGAACTTTTAATAAACTCACTAATGTCGTCACAAAATTTATTTATTTTTTCTTGAAGTTCTGTTTGCTGAATTTTAAGGAAATACAAACACCTCTTAAGCTTCTGTTCTCTTGGAGTTTTTGGAGCAAATGAAGGCCTTGAGTTAATGCTTCTTGCCGAATCAAGTTGATCGTTCATATTTGTTGATAGACTTACACGTGGTGGACATGATCTAGATGATTTTATTTGCTGTCGATTTTTTCGACGTTCAACTCGGATTTGATTTTCTAACTCCAGGTAGGATCTAGAAAGAAACCATAATTTTCGCTGAGATGCAGAACCGACAGTTGAAGTCAATCCAAAAATTAATGTAGACCGAGTCGAGTTTGGAGTGGTGGCTGGTCTTCGTCTGATTCGTCTGACTCTCGGGGCGGATAATATCAGTCTAGTTTTTGGGCGTGGTGGAGGTCCTGGACAAAAAAGAAAAGCAAAGATAATACTTTCATCATAAGGTATTATCGTAGGTGAAAGATATATCTTCTTTAAGATTAACACGATGATTAATTTCATAGTTACAATAAAAGTAATTCAGAGTTATTATATTGTTATTGTTCACTCCATCTGATATACTAAATGTTGATTTAAATGTTTTTAAATATCAATTTTGCTCGCGCTATGATAACAAGGAAATCATTAATTCATATAATTTAGGATGCTAGAAGATTCGAAATAATTCGTGGTAAGTTAACATCTATAGTTTGAAGAAGGCAAAAGGAAAACTACCCTTGTTTGTAGATAAGTTATTGAGAAGGGAAGAATAGCCTCTATTAAAAGATTTTAAGCTGTTCAGACCAACAAAAAGAGTAACGAGGATAAATAAAATTTACCTAAATAATACAACAAGCTCTCTAAATATACAAAAACTAACTTTGAAATTCCTTTTGATTTTTTTTCAGACTATGAATAGTCCTGCTTTTATGTTTTTTCTCTCCACGACGGTCCTTGAGAACTGATTTCTTCGCTTCCTTTTGTTTACCTGATATTTTAGTAAAGTTTGTCGGGGATGAGTCGAGATTTGAGTTTATTTTGTTCAGAAAGTTTGGAAACAATCGATTATGACCTTTGAGCACTTTTTGCCATAATCCCTTATTGGAGTCGACGGCAAACTTCTGAAATTTAATTAGTTATAGATAATAATCAGTCAGTTATTAAACGCGTCTTGGATATATAATTTCTCAATAATAAAGTTGTTCTGTTAGATATAGAAAACGAAAGGAATTCACCAGTAACGTAGACTGATGTCGATCTTTTTTCATTAAACTGGAACTCATTAGGTATGGTAGCACATGGGAAAACCTCAAATTTTAGTACATAAGGGGAAGGCATCCCCTGATGACTATTGAGGATAGTAGGGTAGTATCGTGGATTAACTGAAGTTGGACGTATACACCACTGGACCCCCGCTGAACAGTCTAGAAGCTGTGTTCGTGTGCGGGACCGAATGTCCTAGGTTCGATTCCTGACAGCGGGGTCATCGATCGACACTTCTGAGGAGTTTTATAGTAGGACAAAACGTCTTCTAGGTTTTCGATGGTTGCCTAACTTAGATAGGCTTGTGATTTCATTGAAAACCTTGAATGGTTTGTAAATATTAAAATAAATGTATCTTTTTCGATGACAAGTGAACTTAATGGCATGGTCAAACTTCACTGGACTATTATAGATAAATAAATTTTTGATTCCAAAATTCTATTTCTACTTTTCAAAGTTAACTGGTGAAAATGTTGTCTACAGAATATTAACTCTTGCAAAGATCTTCACCAATAAATTCATTAATCAAGCAATGAACAAAAAATATTCACTAGAATAGCAGAAATTGTGAAAATCATACAAACATCTTCATCCACTTATTCTTCTACTTATTCTTCGATTGATTAGGCCATAATAATCAGTGATAATGAGATTTAGTTTTGTTTTTACTCAATTACTTACAAAGACGTATTTCAAATAAAACAGAAGTTAATTTTAAACAAATACTGCATAGTATTTCTTTATACTGATACTGTGTACTTGAATTTAATAGACTTTTATGCATGATCATCTATAGTGTTTTTATAAAATAATCTGTTCATTTCATAAAAGATAATGACGTTTGTTTCGTCCAATTTTCAAAGTCACTAGGTTCTCCTCTTAAAACATAGACTAATGAATATGATATCAAGTTTAGACCACGGTCGTGTTAAGGTTTTTCCTAATGTCATATCATTCAGGTGAAAGGTGATATATATATATATATATATATATATATATATATATATATAATACGTATTGTAGTGAGTATAAAAATGGTGAGATATTTAGACACCTTAAATATCACTGTTTGAAATAAAGGCCCAAGTTGAATGGTTAGTTAGTTCTTCCTTTCTATTAAGAGCAATAGAGTTTAACAATACATTCATAATTGCGAATATTGGAATATATTTCTAATGTTCTCTAGACAGTTTTCGTGTGATCTAATACCTGACTAGGATAGTTAAACATTTGTCTTAATTTTTATTTAATGAAAAAAGAGAGTCTATGATTGATTCAACCGAAAGAATCATTATTCATTCTACCTTTTATTACTATCTATCCTACATAAATCATTATAGAATCCGTTTAATAAAGTTATTTTTTCCACTCATTTCTAATGAGTGATTTTTGAAACCATACTGGAGCGGGGAAGGTGAATAAAAATAGCAGTTCTCCTTTCTATTTTATTGATATTACTATGATTATCTAAATAGTTGTTTTAACATTGAAGCGAAACAATTAGTCTGATAGGGAACTTTAAGAAATACCTGCAGATTTTCCATTTGGTTTATTTTTGGAAAACCATATTGTATTTCACTAAAAGTCATTAAAAAAATTAATATTTCAAAGATGATTTCACATTTTCACTAAATTGACTACTCTTACACTAATCAATTGATATTGATAATCTCCTTACCCTTAACCACTAATCTGCTCTAAATCATTCCAGTAACAATCATCCGTAGTCAAAGAGTTCTGCACTTTTCGGATCATTGTAAATCCTGGAGATGATACAACGCACTAGTTTGGAAGTTAATCAAATATGACTCAGAATAGAAACAATTTACAATTCTTCTGTAGTTTTATTTTATGTTCCTTATGAAAGTAAGAGGAGCTCGATTTAATGAACGAATTCTTGAGATTAGATGGTGGTTGGAGGTAGTCAACAGGAAACCCTGGACCCGGGTTTCGTGCTACTTGGCACTCGTCAGCAAGGTGTACCTGTAATCTCGAGGGAACTGGTGCTCCCTGGCGGACTAGACAAGCATGAGATTGATCACCACCCAGTGATCAATCAACTGTGAACGAATTCTTTCCTGTTTGTATTTCTGGCTGAACTGTATCTCCTAATAAGTATTAATCCTGTTCACATATTTATTATCCTCGATTGTACTTCCCTCTATTCTTTAATCTCACAACAATATTGCCACTTTATTTGTATAATTCGTGTTTTTTGGGTGCTATTAAATGAAATAAAGTAAAAAAAAATGTTTTTAGAAAATTTAATTCTCTGAATGGCACGTTGTGATGTAAGTTTTCGATAATGTAAAAACCTTCGCTTTTCCAATTTCATTGACAAAAGAGATTTACATGGTTTCTTATTTTCTCAAGTGTCTTATGGGCTGACTATTCGTAAAATCTCATTAAGTAATCCTACATTTTGATAGTGTAGTAAGAAGACGAAGATTATCATACGGATAAACTATCCTTTTTGTAATTATGTAAGGAACAAATATTTGTGATTCTTTGTTATTGACTTCATGTTCCATAAATACTGTGAACATGTTCATTATGAATTATTTAATTGAAATACACTATGAGATAGGCTAATATAAATTAATTGGACGAAATCTTACTAAAACACCCTTTAAAAACAAAAAACAAAACAAATTAAGACTTACAGTTCGATCAATTTCTTCAGCTACTTTATGAATTTCATACAGTTGATCATTAACGCGCTGTTTTGCTATATCCTGTTTGAGAGTTATCTCGTTTTTATGCTGTAAAGCAATTTCTTCCAGCTTTTTATTAACTTCATCAACATTTTTATCTTTACACAGTAATTTTAAAAAATTCCAGTGTTTATTATGAGTAGCAGACATTTGGTTGATTTCATATAAACGATTCATTTTTTTAATTCGTAGTCTTATAGATACCAGTTAATGAAAAAGAAATCTTCCAATTCTTGTATCTTCAGCAGGTTTTCAATATAATTTTGTTGCTTTTAAATAGAAAATGATTTGAGTTGCTATTTTCTCACCAACTCAGAACATAAAACAGTTTAAACTAATGTTGATTTTTGTAACTTGATTTTGTTAAAGTCTGTTATTTTTTTGTTTAACTTAGCTACCAGAGAATTTTTAATAGGCTTACACTAGAAAGGATTTTAATTTGAATCTTTTGACATATTCGTCTATGAGTTGACCTTAGTTGTGTTTTTAGAGAATTATAACAATTTTATGGAATAACAACTAGTTTATAACCCTTATTTTATTTGGCATATTAAGATCACGGAGAAAACTTGTTTAACAAATATTTTAGTGATGATTTCGAGTTTTGTAATTACCATTGTAATTATTTAGTAACATATATACCAGGACATCTGTCAACAAAAATTGTCTGGAAACTTGGTATGTTCTATTTCGAAATCCTTCAGAAATAGCTTGACTTCTAATATATGCTAAATAAAGGTCGAAACCTTTATTTTCTTTGACGAGCTGGATCATTGAGTTCGAATCCCTCATCCATTATACTAAGATTTTTATCAATTATCTGAAAACTGTACCGGGTAAGCTGAAATAAGTAACTAACTTAGTTATTTTAACTGTGCCTCATTTTTGTTATTGAAATGAAAATAATTCATTATGTTTAACGGTATTTACAAATTAAATTTATCTGAAGACGGTTGTGGTCTGTATGCAGCGAACCATACAACTTAGGTTCCCAGTCGGCTGGCACTCGACGAAATTCACACTTTTCGAAATAACAAAGTCAGTGTAATCTAAAGATTAATAATCTCATATGATAATTCATTAGGTGCATATTGATTAACTGCGACTAATATCATTTTGATCCATGTTTTCCTCTTTCTATATTATATTGTCTTTCGAATGATTACGAAAACTTTCAATGAAGCTTCGATTATTTTTTATTTTTGGTTAAAATCCCAAACTAAAACTTTCCACCTTGATTAAATGCATGATTTTATGTGAATATTTGATTAATTAAATGAAGATAGAAAGACAGTATAAGTAGGCTTAATTTTTGCATACGGTGAAGATGACATGAAATAAACTAATTCTTTTTATGAACAATTCGTATGGAAAAAAGTTTCTGTCGACTTAAAATATTCACTTGAATGTGACAAAATCAATAAAAATATTGTCTTACCTGGGTAGAATTTTTATATTAATGCTTTTTCAAGTACATTTTCTGATCATAGTAAAATGACAAAACTTTGAAAGTGGAAAAAATTTCGTTTATTTAGTGAAAGTAGTTAAATAAAATGATTGGAAAATGAAAGTAAATAATGAAACTTAATTTAAGCCGAATGTTTACGTAACAAACAATGAAAATAATTTAAAATAATAATTTACAGTTACTATTAGTTTTTATAGTCAACTAGACTATTTTCTATTTTTAGTAAAGTTTCTCTTGGAACATTTTAGACCAGTAGTACGTAGAAGGACGTTTATTCTTTGTATTAACTTGAAAGATTTTTAGAAATGCTCACTACCAATTGTTATCAGTATCGGTTAATTCATGATTGCTGTTCTGACTAATATTAATAAACATTCAAATCAGTGGCTGAATAAAGGAGTGTTGCTTAAATCAATTAGATGTAGAAATCATCTCAGAGTTATACAAATATAATTGCACATGAATTGTGAAGGAAATTAGCAACAAGATATAACAGTATCTGATGGATATCTGCGAGTTAAAACAAATGCCTAGACATAATTATTAATATTTATTTATTCATAAATTTTAAGTATTTCATTAATTATTTTATTAAAAGAAGCTCCAGAGTGCACTCTCAAACTCACACATGCATTTCTTCATTTGCCAAGAAATGCTAAGTTCATAGTCATGTGTTTATTAGAAAATTAATTTATTAACGAACTTATTAAAAAAAGAATACACTAATTTGTATAATAAAATTCAATGAACTATTTCACCAACCTGACAGTTAAAGTGGGTGTTGTCAACCCATACTATTGAATATATCGATGATAAATTTATGAATGTTTGAAATTCACATCTAAAACACATGATATTGAATATTTCATAACTGGATTTAAAGCAGTCAAGGTGGTTCTGTCAAGTTATCACTGAAATGTAGTCAGCTTAAAATAAATGTTTTTTATTTTATAAATTTGATCAAATGACTACCTCTTAGTATTTCATAATTTTATTATTTTATATTTATATATTACTAGGGGTATTGTTTCATTTAATTGGTACTGTATATACCTATTTAAGGTATGAAGCTGTGCATTCAAACTAACAAGAAAGCTAATAGATGAATTATCAACATTTACGATTACATGAATATGTGTTTTTAATATAAATTGTTGGTGGCTAAGCTTTCAACAACAACCATAATCTTTAACGTCATCTCACCTAACGTAAAAATAGTTAATTTTTTTATTATATAACCCAGTGTAAGTGGAACAAAGCCAATTCAATAATTGCAATATTTTCTTCAAGCTCAAATTTTTAAGAAATATTCTGTCAATTAATTTACGATGTGCTAAGTCATTTACACTATTCCAGTTGTATATGTTTGCTCAAACACATTGAGAACTGTAATTCGATTGGTTGAGACTGTTATATTTTAGTTCATACATAGAATTAAAGTTCATTCGTTTGTTAATTATTGTTTTGTCTCAGCATAGTGATCCTGTGTATTTTCCAGGTGCTTAAGATAACACAAGTTTTACAGCCAATATTTTTTATGACAAATAGAAATTTAACACTGCCCCAAATATTCCCTTCTGCACTATTTATGAAATACATTTAAAAATAAAAGAATGGTGGAACCTGAATGTCGACTACATCAGCTGTCAAGAAAACAATAGCTCATTCCCAAACCTAAGGTCTAATTTATGCACTTTGTAAGTGATTCTATATTTCAAACAAGCGTTGGTTTTACGGACTTCGATTTATTTGATAACAAAATATCATTGATTTTTTGTAAAACAGATAGATGGGGAATTTTCAAGACCCGCCCTTTCTTCATTGTTAGCATTTACTGAAGATGGTTTAGTAAAACTATCTTTAAAGAACTTTATTGACGAATTGTGAACATAATGTTGTAATTGATAGACATCACACTGTTTTAATTTCTTTGGAAGAGGGACTGATTGATGACTAAATATAAAGATGTTCTTGGAGAATTTTTGCAAACTGTGAAAGTTTTAAGTCACCATCTCCTTTAATTATAAAGAACAGAATGATCATCATGAAGGTCATACCATAGACATGTTACCATTTAGTCATTGAACCAGAAAATATAATGTTCGATGTATTTTAACTCTAGCCGCTTGAATCTAAAGCAAGACTATCATGAAGAACTATTTTTGATAATCAGTCTATATTTGTTTTTCTTTATAAGCTATAATAGATAAATGTTTCTTGGAACCATTTAAACACTCAAATTTCACATCATGTAAATACTCCATAGATGAATCTCTTATTGTTCAGATCTAATATCAACTAATTCCAGAGCAGAATTTTTTAAATTTAAACGTTAATTTTAAACCAACAAATTATTTCTTCGTCTTCATAATTGAGAGACACCAGTAATTTTATAAAATCTACGTAGTTTCTTCATTTTTCCTATTCGATTTCATTAGTTACTTCTACTTTGAAATAGAATTTCAGTTTATTATTCAAGTTTATTTCCATTTACATATTTTAATTGAGGTTTGTTAGCTAAGATTAACGATAAATTGTGTGAATACTAAATTTTGACGTGTTTTATTCTCCAGAACGACAAACAAACTGAACAGGTTCAACAGACTACTAACTACTGATAAATACAGATTACTGAAAACCTATTTTATAACGTTGAAGTCTTTGTGCAACCAGTAATTAGAAGTAAACAAAGGTAACAAACATTCTTTTATGAGTGATAAAACCATAATTCCATGTAGTTAACTATAAACAGGCAGTCATATTAAATTGTTTTTGAAGACAATATTACAAGGTCTTTATTATCTGGTTTACCTAATATGCCTTCATTAACAAACACAGATCTTAAGTTCAGTTTTTGTCATAGATTTGTACCATCTGGAGAACCATTGAGAACTATAAAGCCTTTGATAACTGTTTCGTCATAGTTCAGTATTCAGGGAGCTAAGAAACTAATTCATACATTTTCAGCGGAATTGAGCTTCCTTGCATGATGGAATTAATTTCAACTTAAAAATCTTAATGAGTATAAGTAACACACTATTCACCGAGTCTCTATAGTAATATGTCCTCAGTTGATGAGGTGTTCAATAAGACGTCGAAAATGAATTCAAAATACATGTAGAAGATAAAAGTAAAGGAGATGAACTAAAAATATTTTATATGTTCTCTTCAGATAACCAAAATTTTGTCGATTACCGCATTTGATCAAAAGTAACTCAGCGAAAAATTCATATTTTAAACCGTGGTTCCGCTTCTTAAAAACCACTAAAACTGAATTCGACATCAGCTAAACACTTTGAAGAAAACAAACTAACAAACAATTAAACAGCTTAGTCGACTTTTATCGTCTTTATAAACAATGACGATTGGTAATAAAGGTTGATTTCTTGTTCCTCATACTCTGAAGAAATGAACGATGAATAGACATGATCTACTTCAGATGTAAATTTTTTTACTCGTGATCTAACCCTAAGTTGTTATTGATGAGTGTAAAATGTTATGTCACATGATATTCTAAATATACTTGCATAATTAAATTTTTTAATAACTGTATTTACATTCTGTATTACTTTAAATTTTTTATGCTCATCGACGTAAGTTTGTTAGTCACTGTCTACAATCTGTGGGAAATTGGCCATATAATTTTCTGTCCAAAGTTGATAATTCGAGGTATCTGAACTAGAGACAAATATAATCCATATGTTACATA